TGTGTGTGTGTGTGTGTGTGTGTGTGTGGTGGGGGGGTTCAACTATGTTTGCCTATTACTAGCAATGAATACAAACTAGACAACATGACACCAGAAAGTTTTATTTTTAATTAAACATTACAAAAATCAAATGCAGAATTAACAGAAACTCGATTTATTGTTTATTTTCAAATGCTTAAATTGCAGATTGGTGCAGATTGTCTTATCAATGTGCTTCATTCTATTCAACTTCATTCTGGATTAATTTTTTTCAACATCCCAGGAACAAATAATTCTATAATGAATAAGGAAAACTTCTTAAAGGAAAACTGCCCACCTCTGTTACAAATGTTATAACAAAAATATACAGTTTAACATCAATACTTGCATTTTATTGCTTTTTACTTAACATGAAATGTGAAACAAGTAAGGAATAAAGCAAGCTTGCTTTGAAATCGTTTGGATCATTGGAATAATCTCAAGTAACTGTCCACTTCTGATTTTAAGTTCTTTTGATTTAGAGAATAAAAGGTACTTCTGTAAAGTAGTTATTGCTCAGCCACACTTGAGAAAATCGGAAAAGCAGTGACATGCGATCCTCCTGCGAGAAATGACTGTGTGCACCAGGCATTCTAGAGGAGGATAAGGATTAGAATTAGTAAAGGTAACGGAAAGGACTTGGATTATGATTTTCTCAAATGCCATGCTAAACAACTCCCTTGTCAGAGGCAAATATTTTATGAATACTATTTCCAAACAATTGGCTGATATGTGGACAATAATTACTGTATAGGCAATACCAATGTTTCTCATGAGAAATTTTACCCTGCACATTTCTCGTATAGACCCAAGACCTATAGCTACTTGTATTGCAGATTAACCAATTAAATATATACAAAATTAATTATATACATATGAAATGAGGACTACCCCACTTAAGTTAGATAAGATATCAAAGTACATTCAAATGCACAAGTGAAAAAAAATATCTAATTCATCTCCATAAAACCATATCTAACAAACTTTTTAAGTAAACCATAAACAAAATAAATTAGCCTGCATTTGCAAGTATTTGTGAAAACTATTTACATACTTATAAGTATGCGTGTATTAACAATATTTTTCTAACAAAGAGAACTATTTCAAACATGGAGTTAGACCCATTGGTTGCATTGGGTTTGTTATAACATGCATTGTGATTCTCTGTACTCATGTTTCAGTTGTTCTCTATATGGATATGAACTGGGTACGTTATTTGATGCATTTCTTATGATTGGTGTTTTGCATGTTATCCCTTAGCAAAATTTTAAGCTTCCCGCACACGGTTTCTGCACATGTGCACATTCACAGTAAGGGTTTCTGCGCATGCGAAGCACGCCTCATTTGCATTATATACTGTGTTTTTATCTTTATGTGAAAATCAACTAGCAAATTTAAGTCAAGATTATACTAGTAGGAGCCATGTTTAAATTACCACAACCCTGACGTAGCCCTGCTAATAGATACACACAGTGAGAAAAATGCCGAAGAAATGTGGAGAAATGAATGGGGTGGAAATGTAATTTTCAGTTCATTCTCTTCAAAAAGCAGGGGAGTAATGGTGCTTCTCCGAAATTCGTTTCAATATAACATACACAGTAAGATATTAGACCCTGAGGGGAACTTTGTCATCATGGACATAACTGTACAAGAAACGCGCCTTTCGCTCGCGGCAATTTATGGACCTAACAGTGACTCACCGGAATTTTTCAAAAACATCGAACGGAAACTAAGCGTACTTGGAAATACTACGATTATTATCGCCGGTGACTGGAATGTTCCGCTTGATTACTTTAGGGACACGCGAAATTACATGAATGAAAAAAAAATGAAAAGTCTAATGAAGCTGTCCAATCACTAATGAATACTTTTGATTTGATTGATGCATGGAGAGAGCAACATCCTTACGAAAACAAATATACATGTACGTGGCATGGTCCTCATCACAAACAAAGTCGCCTAGATTACTTTCTTATCTCGGCTGACTTACTGCAATACTTAGTTGATTCTGACATTGATTTAGCATACCGCTCTGACCATTCACCAATATCAATAGAATTTAGATTTATTAATCAGAAAAGAGGCAAAGGGACGTGGAAATTAAATAACAGTCTATTGGGAGACCCAAACTACATCTTGCTAGTAAAAGAAACGATTACACAAGTCTTAAA